AGGTTGCTTGACTGGAGTGGAGGATGTGTGAAAGGCCTAAATGTGATCATTGGCTGTGTTCCCAGGCTTGCTTCCATCTGTTGATAAGCAATGGAGGTGGGAGGATATGCCACATTTGATAGAAAGCTCTAAAGCGAAGACTTGCCTATAAAGATCCCTGAGGTATCTCTGATCACTCTAACCTGTCACTGCCATCACATTCATTCTCTGTCTCCCCCTCTCTCTCTCTTGCTGGCAATGTTACTGTGAGAAAAAACCCTGATTGGAAGGTACAAAGGGGCTTTATTCAGTCAAGATGGATGCTAGTCTCTTCTTGGAGTGAGAAGCTCAACATCTGCATGCATTGCTGAAGAAATCAGAAGCAAAGGGGCTCATCCTGGCAACTTTTTCTCCTCCAAACCCTTCAGGACATCACAAAGGAACCTCCCTCCTCCCATGCACTGGAAACTGAAATACCAATTCCTTACGGGTAAAGTTTGTACTTGCATATTGCTGAGCATTTTTAACCCACGGGCGTTCCTGCCTGGAGAGTTCTGACAATGCATGCTGGATTTCAGAGAATGGGATGTTTTTTGCTGAGTTTTTTGCCCATGTGTTTCATTGTCTCAACTGACAACAAGTCTCGACTGCAGCTTTTCTTTCCTACTTACAATGCGACACAGCATGTTCTGATACTGCCCTCACTGGGAGGCATGATGGGAGACAGAGAACTACTACATCAGTCTGTGTTGTGTCACGCTATGGTAAAAAGCTGGTGTGAACACTCCAAGAAGGTTTATGATGCAGACATCCACAAGTTCTACTTGCCAGCTGCTTTCCACTGTGCATGGCACATTTCTGATATTTTTTAATATTTCCTCCATCTCCTTCACACACATCCTCCTTCAGCTGAGTACACACACCCCAGTACCACTTCAGAAAAACATGGCTCATGAAAATATCTCTCAGAGAGCCATGCCTGGGGCTAGAGTGAGGAGGCAAATGTCAGAAACATTGCCAAAGGCGCCTAATCTTTCCCAGAAGGCTGGCTGCAAATATATAGTAGAGATGACCAAACTGCAGAGGACACAATGGTTTTTGCTAGATATTCTTGTGTGCAGAAACCATCAGAGAGGGGAAATGTTCCCAGCCACTGCCCCAGAAAAAAATGGTGTTTCTATAGAAGAGAGAGAGAAATGGCAAGGGAGGGGATGTGGAGTTTTGTCAGGCTCTGTATAAAACCCCATTCTTTTCTGGACAGGTAATAAACAGCACATGGGTGGTTTTCTAGTATAGACAACACCTGCTGCTAATATTTCCTGATTGATTCACTTGAATACTTAGAATGAAAATACACCAAATCTAAAATTCTAAATATATAATCAGAGTTTAATAACATCATCGATTTATTTTCTGGATTATGAATTACACCCTCCCCCCTCCCACCCCCTCCCCTTCATCTCTGTCCCAAAACTTGTTGACCTGTCAGAACTAAAATAAACAAAGCAACCAGAAAAGATCACTTATAGGAGAAAGGATTAACCTGATGGACACATGGCCTAATCTATCATGGGAGAAGGCAAAATACCAGGCTCCTGTGGTTAGACCAGTGGTTCAGTCCAGAATTTCCAGTTCTTCTTTTCTGGTTGCCCTAGAGCATTCATTTGAGTGTTTTGTGGCACAGTTAATATTTGCAGAGCACTCAGAGTGTTAACAGTGCTACAACAGTATCAACACTAGATAATGGTTTTGGCAAACTATCATTTGCCGATCAGTGGAACAAGGGACAGACCAGTTCGGAGAAAATACGAACCAACTTTCACCCCAGAACACAAAAATCAGAACCTTTAAGAAGAGATTTGAAAAAAGTTCCATTAACTTCTTTTTGGTTTGTTTTCGGCTTAATTTCCCTGCAGAGCCACCCTCCAGGTTTCCTCGTTCCAGGTGGGGAGGGACGGAAAAGTACCGAGATAACCGCCAAAGAGATTAGCTGCCCTCGCCAGCTGTCAAGCTCCCCCCCAAGCCCTTAGGAAATACCAGAAATTATCATGAGCTTTCCCAAGTCCAAGATTTCTAAACCAAAGTAGCATTGGAGAAGTCTCTTAGTGTCAAAGTGATGGTCCAACCTGAGTGGCCAACTTGATGGTTCACCCCACCACTATCAAGACAGTGTAGTGCCTTGAGGCCCAAACTCCACAGAGAGATGCTGGTACAGAGAGTTTATATGCAAAAAGGAATTGGGGGTGTTCCCATCAAAACATGAAACCCTGCTGGCAAGGCTTGAAGTGACGTTCCGGCGTCTTCCATTCATGAAGATAAAGGTGACAGGGCGATACGGGGGGCCTCGGGGGAACACAACACACATGGGTTTCTCTCTCTCTCTCTCTCTCCCCCTCATTCATACGGCCTCGACCCGCGTAAACCGCTTCCAAAAACGCAGCCTGAAAAGTCGTAGAAAACAAACAGAACGGAAACAAACCTCCCCTCCCTCCCACCCCACGACCTGAATATTCACGAGAAGAGAAACACCAATTTATACAAAAACGCAATAAAAAAGAAATATTTACAAATGAAAGGAACGCCTTCTCAGTGGCTGCTGTCAGAGGCATCTGACAAGCTGCCATGTGTTCTGGATTGCAGATCGCTCTGTTAATTTGTTTGGTTTCTTTTTTTTTTTCTGTTTTTATTTCTTTTTTCTTTTCCTTCTTGTCTTTGTAATGAGAGAAGAGGGAAAGAACGAGAAGTTCCCTTACCCCAAAGACTATGGGGCGGCATTACAAAGACTCTTCCCCTCCTCCCTCCTTAATTTCCTCAGTGAAATATAAGAAAATATTCCCCTCACCAACCCTGCCCACCCTCTCCTCACACTCTTTGACTTCACAGGCAAATCCCACCCTCCTCCCACCCCAGCTTTAAAAAATAAATAAAATAAATAGGTAAATAAATAAAATGCCTTCTGCTGGCTTAAAAAGAGAAAGATACGATAAAATCAACCAGAGTGTAGTAAGGAATGTGAGAGAGGTGGCTTTCAGCTCCAAGAAAAGTGGCTCATAAAGACTGGGCTGACGTCTCCTTTCAGAGTCAGTCCCCAGCAGTGTCCCCATGCCCTCAGCACAGGGTTCTCTCAACCCTTCCCCTGGTGAGCCACGGTCATCGAGACATTGGGACAGACCCAGAATAAGCAAGAGAGATTTTGCCATATCTCTCAGGACCAGAGAAGTCGGCCCACACTCCCACCTCAGGAGAATGAAGACATATGAAAGGGGAGTTCAGCTTCTCACTCCTACCATTGCTCCCTTTTCTTTAGTTTAACTTGCATCTGAAATGATACAATGGAATGAAAAAACCCACTCTTATCGATACTAGGTGCACCAGGAAAGCTGTCACTACAACTGCAGGGATGGGAAACCCTAGGCTATTCCAGCTTTGCACCTGTGCTAGTATCTCTCGCACACAGAGGCACACGTACATGTACACATGCATCTCAGCCTTGCATGTCTTGTCTTCAGCCCTCAGCACAAACTTCTGTGCTCTCTGGCATTTATTCAAGCACACTTCTTCCCAGGAAGACAAGCTGTGTTCTTCCCCTGTACATTCAATAGTAAATATACATATGTATTTCCCAAGGGTGCGCACACCCTCCTCCCATTTCCACATGTGCAAGGAGGCATTGAAACAGTCCACTAGCACCACCACATGCACCCTTTCATGGCATATTTTTTTCCTCTCCAGCACCGTGCCAGCACTGGCAGAGGGCACTCTCTTCTTTTCTTTCCAACCTGCTGGCCAAGAGTAGGGAGGGCAGAATAAGGAAACCCCTTTTTTCCCTGCCCTCCTCACTGAAAGGGCATGCCAAAACAGGCTTGGTGTCCTCTGAAGAGACAGTGACAAACTCTTCACTTTTCCCTAGTCTTTAGTTCTGTTCCACTGTTTGTTATCTAGACAACTTATAGGATCATGGGTTTATTTCTCTTTCTCCACAGACATTTCAAGTATAAAGTTATTGTATATACTCACGTATAGGCTAACCCATACTATACACTGCTCCCACCCTTGAAGTATGTCACAGCTAGTGAGCAATTCACAGCTAATGAACCAACCTGCGCCCCTTTCCCCAAACTCCTCTCATTTCAGTGCAAACCAGCATCCTCTGTCAGAGATCCCAGCAGCCTCCCTGACTCCAGGGTTGCTCTCCCAAACTCAGACTCCCACTTCCTTTCCATCCCTTTCACAGGTCTGCCACAGATTCAGTGGCTGTAATAGCCATAGCGAAATCATTAGCTAGACCTGCAGACAAGACTTCTCTCCCCCCACACTCCCCAGCAGACAATTCAAAATTTTAGCGTAAAATTTCTCAGCATATACGCAAATATATATATATATTTCAGCCCTAAACCCCCATAGTCTTCACAAAATAATGTGACGAGAACCTCAGTATAGCTAACATATAAGTGCATCATCAAGTTAGTCGTGTTATTCCCCCCTTCCCTTTCTCCACATCTTCAAACACTACTCTTTTCTAGGCAGTTTTAGGAAGATTTGCCTGAGCAAGCACATTTTCCTGCATGTCCATTAAACTGCTTCTGCTGTCTCCTCCTGACACACAAACACATGTGTGTGTGTGCATGCCTTTCTCTGCCAGACGCCAGCAAAAGTGAAACGCTAGTGTCACTGCTGCTCCCTCTCGGCTCATGTCTTCCCTGCCTTTTTCTCCACTTCCTGAAATCACGAGCAAGGATATCGAACTCCGACGTCACTGTAAAGTGCAATGGCCAGGAATGGAGGAGAATGGGAGGAGCGAGAACATGGAAAAAGAGATAAAAGGGGAAGGGTGGGAAAGGGGAGGAGGAAGAGGGGAAACCAAAGAGGTGGCACTTGTCACCAGTGCTGCACTACTCAGAACTCCAGTATCCCACAAAGTAAGGACGACCCAAGAGAGTAGCCAATGGGATTCATCCCACCCCACCCTCCCACTCTTCACATACACCCCCAAGTCCCTCCCCGCGCTCTTCCCCTCTCACTCAAACGTCAGACTCAATACTGGAGAGTTTCTCATAAACATGCCCGTTGCTGGAGCCATTGAAAGCCCTGGGGTTTTTGTTGTTAGGCACACAGGGGTTGGACTGGTTCCCTATACAGATGTCCTTCTGGAAACGGGCTGGCACAGCCCCATGAAGGGCTGAGACCACCGGCTTGTTGGTGGTGACAAAAAAAAACGCGTCGCTTTGGGCCCCCCTGCCACCACAGGCTGCCTGAAGAAATAAGATTTGCTGCCGTGGAGCAAGCATTGGTCATCCCCAAAAGTGGGGATGAAAGGGTTTTGGGTGACCCGGTCGGGGTAGAGCGACTTGCTGAGCATGTAGCCCCCGCTGCTGCCGGGGTTGTTGTGGTGGTGGTAGCTGGTGGCGGGCACTGAGGACTTGTTGTTGGCAAAGGTGGTCTCACTGGCTGGCATCTCAAACATGTGGGCGTAGGGGCTCCCCTCCAAAAAGCGG